TCGGGAGGCTGAGGCAGAAGGATTGCTTGAGCCCAGGAGTTCAAGGTTGCTGTGAACTAGGCTGACGCCACAGCACTCTAGCCCAGGCAAGAGAGTGAGACTCTGTCTCAAAAAAAAAAAAACAAAGCTCTCTATTTAAGGAAGTGTTAATCAGCTGAAAGAAACAAAGCCAATTAGTTACATGCTGTTAGTTTTGTTCACCATGCAGCATATTTTCTTGATGTCCACAGAAGCAGCTTATTAATTAGAATTAAATTAGACAAATGGCACCCTCATTTTTTTTCTTCACTTTTGTAGCATGTGACCCTTTTTTTTTTTTTTTTTTTTTTTTTTGAGACAGAGTCTCACTCTCTTGCCTGGGCTAGAGTGCTGTGGTGTCAGCCTAGTTCACAGCAACCTTGAACTCCTGGCTCAAGTGATCCTCCTGCCTCAGCCTCCCGAATAGCTGAGACTACAGGCATGTGCCACCATGCCCGGCTAATTTTTTCTATTTTTAGTTGTTTGGCCAATTTCTTTCTATTTTTTAGTAGAGAAGGGGTCTCACTCTTGCTCAGGCTGGTCTTGAACCCCTGAGCTCAAGCGATCCTCCTGCCTCAGCCTCCCAGAGTGCTAGGATTACAGGCGTGAGCCACCACGCCTGGCCCATGTGACCCTTTCTATAAATCTGTTTTTAGTGATTCTCAGCCAATCAAGTTACTTCAAAACTGAATTGTCTTCTTAACCTTTAAGAATTTCTCATAAATTATACGGATGTTACGAGTAGACTTCAGTGGCTCTCCTCCGTTAACGTCTAGCTCTGCTTAATGTGGTGTACTAAAGGGAGGGTTTCATCCTCAGTACAGCAGTTTGCTAAGGACAGTCAAAGGCAGTTTTGCTGGTTTTGGTTGGTCCTTTCCTCTAAATATAATAGCCACAAGTGCACATTGAGCTTATCACCTTGTCTTCAGAGAGCCTAGCAACTTGAAACATGATATGCCTCAAAATATTACAACCATTCCATGTAAAGTTACTGTGCATTGGTTATACTTTAAAGAATAATCTAACTTCTTAAAAGCAAAAATCAATCCACAGCCTGTGGCTTCTCTTGAGCTGAGTAGAAAATAATAATCTACTAACTTCCTGGAGCTACTCTGCTCTGTGAGCACATCCTGAGAATGCCCAGTCTTTGAAAACAGCAAGTGAGCCTGGCAGAGACATTCTAGAATATCAACCGTGCCTCTGTTCTGCGGTTTATGCAGGTGCAGCTTCTCTACTTTCCATTTAGAAAATAGACTTTCTGGGTCAAACAGTAATTTGACCTCTGCAGTGCTTGGCATTAGTTTAATAAAAGATCATACTCCTCACTTGTCAAAACCAGCTTGTGCAGAAATGCATTTTGCAAAGCACAGTGTTGGCAGCTTCAGGTAGATAGCAATGGCAGTTAACTGTAATAATGGGAGGATACCTCTCTAAATACTGGTAGGTGGAAAGTTCTAGCTCTTCTCCCATCTTTACACTCTTGATATTTCCTTTTTTCTTAGACTAAGTATAACATTAATGGTTGTATCTCATGGAATAAAGATGGGGATTTTCACTATTCAGATCTGAGTCTGTCCTATATTGTGACTTTTTGGTAGACATCTTTGTTTTATGCTTTACTTGGATTCTCTTCCCTTTTTCCCCCATCTTCAGAGCATGACTTTAAATTTGGACAGTGTCTATGACAAAAGAAGGCAGGGGATTCATCTAGTTCCTTTTATTAAGCTGAGATCTAGAGAAGGGGAAGTGGGTGCTGTGTATTGTTATACACCTCTGAGAATAAAGATTTTTACTTGCCTTGAGCATTTGTTGGAGTTATTATTAAGTTTAATCTTTTCTCTATGTCATATCTTGCCTTTGGCTGGCTGCCTAGCATTGATGGCATGACTCTGAGATATTTGACCAGCAAAGATGATTATTTATGCAACACACATGCTTACTGAAAGGATTTTATTGTATTATCTACACTCTTACTTGGTATCATAGAATGATGACATTTATTTTTTTTGTGGTTTGGATTTTGTGGGTGAATATAGAAAATTGGTATCAGACCCCATAAGAGAAAGTCATGATTTTCTTGTCTGTGAAGGCCAATGTCTTTCAATAGATTAATTCCATTACTTGACTTGGTCTTCAGAAATAAAATCCTATAGTAGCATCCAGTGCTCATGTCTTTGGCAGATTCTTATATATTGATACTTGTCCATATTAGCATGAAAATGTTAATATATTTCCAGAAAATCAATGAGAAACATACATACCTGGAAAACATTAGACTGGTACTCACACCTCTTCTCCAATTATATGGAAATTTACCTTCTCTGCTTTTTGTTTAAAATGAAGATTTTATTTTTAATATGAGTTTGACTGGTTTAATGTCCTTACCCACCAGTTATTTCCAGAAGCACTTACCTAGGCCCTTAAGTGGCACCAGGACATAGGACGCACTTGTCCAAGCAGCCGTTGATCATTTGCAGATTGTCAGAATCTCTACCTTTACCTTATTCTTTGAAATGGGAAATGGGATGTTGTCCCTTAAAAAAATTCAATCCCAGTGCAGGGAAAGTGGCATCCTACCTCTAGTTCTATTTAATTTCTAATTAATATGCACTCATTTTATACAACAGCCCTTTACTCCCTCCACACATTCTTGCAAGAAATTTCACAACAGAACTTGAATGGGCAGCTGAGTTGTTGGAATGGATTTTCACTCAGGGTTGACAATTTTTAGACTATGGAAAATAAAAGAAAGGTACTTAAAAAGGACAGCATTATACCATTTAATATAGCAATGTAATGCATTTTGTTTTTCCAGGGACATTTCCTAGAAATTTTAATTGCATAATTATGACTTCTATATTAGATGCTGACAAGCAAGTAGCTATTATCAATTTGCATTGTTTGAAACAGCCAAAAGAGAAATATGAAGACTTGTAATATTTTTGTTTGATTTTTTCAAAAAAGTGACATGAATGTGGGCTTCTTTTTTATTCCTCTCACTGTTAGTCACTTTCAAATTGTTTTAAGTACTTCCCACAGCTTTCGGTAATCATCTAGTTTGTACTGCGGCCCAGAGGTGCTGCAGAATGTGATCTCTAGCAGCGTTATTAGAGTCTGTTTTCTTTCCTAATATTTGTGAACCTAAACAGGCTTCTGTGTTCCCACCAATTCCACTATCACCAAGTTGAATTTGCTGATGAGGTGGAAACTCACTCCCCAGGACCAGCATTGCAAAGATGCCTTTCCTAAACTTCCCTCCTTGTGGAAATAATATATTAAGCTAGAAAACCTTAAAACTGGAAGGGATTTCTACAAAATAATTTATTTCATATCTCATATTTTTACCATTAAGAAACAATAAAGTTGGGTGATTTTTTTTCCTGCAAGATCATCCATATATATTATGGTAGAGCCGAGATGGGAATCCAGCTTCCCTGACTCCAGAAAAACCCAACTGAGAGTCAGAACACATCACCCAGCAGGAGGATCATGTGGGGACATGAAAACAGTGCAGAGAAAATAGTGGTGCCGAGCAAGCGAGGATGAACTTTGTTATTGTTTTCTTCTTTCTCAGAACCTAAAGACTGATCTTGAAATCAGTTTTAGTTATGATTACCTAAAACCATTTTTAAAGGACCGTAATCGAAAGACAGTAAGAGTGAAGAGAAAATTTATAACAGGGATCAGAAAGTGGGAAATAAAATGGAAAGGTAAAATGTTTTGGGCTTTTTAAAAAATTTCTTACTGTAACACAATTCTAAAAACTCAAGGTTGTAAGACAGATGTAAAGAGGTAGGAAAAATAATTAAAATACCAACATTAGTGTTTTAGTATACTTTGTCCAATCTGTGTGTGTGTGTGTGTGTGTGTGTGTGTGTGCACATGTGCATTTTTCTTTATCTTCTAGCCCTCGGTTATAATTCTGTATTATGCTTTTGTGGCTTATCATTGAATCATAAGTATTTCTCATGTCATATGATAAAAACTTTATAAATATAATGTTTACTCCTTCTGTGATGTTTCATCATTCTGCCGTAGTTTATTTCACCATCAATTCCTGTACTGTTTAATATTTAGGCTACTCACAATTTTTTGTAAACAAATAATATGGTGAATATCTTTGTGAATAAATATTCATCTACGTTTTATATCATTCTTGTATGATAGATTTCTAGATCATGAAATACAAGATGGGAAAGAAGTAAGTTTTTAAGGGGGAGGGGAGTGAATATTAGGCACATTTAAAGGAGATGGAGGACAGGTAAAAAGCTTCCAACTTCTGTCCTTCTAGCCTTAGTAATCTTTAAGTCTATAGCTTCTTTAAAGAAATCCTTTTCTTTGCTGTGACTTTGGAGGCTTCTAGACTCATCTTCTTTTATGCAAATTGTGGCGTTAAGTTTCAAGTAAGGCAGCCCACAATATCTGGGTTAAAGAGTCACTTTACCATTTTCCTCTTTTTCTATTTCTTGCCAAACCTTCTAATTCAGGGCTATATTTCTTGTCTCTTTAAAATTTCCTAGCATTTCTCTTAAATGTCACTAATTTTAATAGCTCAGTGGTGGCAGTGCTGCTTTCTGGCACTGTCCTGATAGTGGCATCAAAGCAAAGAGCTAAAATTTTACTCACTTTGATTGATGAGCTCATTTTGTTACAGAGGACAAATTGGATTTTTTTTATACTGGTAATAAAAATTAATGTGTGGTGTTGCTTTTCGGATGTTATTGGATCTCTACCTTAATACAGATTTTAGCAATAAAAGCACTAACAGATAACTTGACCAGAAAATTACTTCCTTCCACTCTCAAAAGTAAAAGGTGCTTTCCTAATTTTGTAATCTTAGTACATTTTTCTGTGTATGTATGAATTTATTGGTGGGAATGGGGTTGAGGATGGCGAGGAAAGCAGGGAAGTGGGGTAATAAATAGTCTATATTTCAAGTTTCCATTTAATTGTGTTTTTTTTTTTTTTTTTTTTAATTTCAGCACCTCCAAGGTTTACACGAACTCCCGTTGATCAGACAGGGGTTTCTGGCGGAGTTGCTTCTTTCATTTGCCAAGCTACGGGAGACCCAAGACCTAAAATTGTCTGGAACAAAAAAGGAAAGAAAGTCAGCAATCAGAGATTTGAGGTATTAGGTCCATTGTTCTGTTTCTCTGGGGGAAGAATGTATCTGTTCTATCTTTGTTTTGTTTGTTAGTTGCTTGCTTTGCTCTGATATAAGGTGTCGTAATCACTGAGATATGGCATTCCTCATCTTGCAAGTAATGGAAAACTTAACTTCAAATGGCTTTTTTAGAAAGGAAAGTTGTGGGTTCAAGCAACTGACTTTTGTTTCTACTTGTGCCTGGGCTCAAACAGTGTTCCTAGTACCCATCTGTCAGCTTCATCTTCAGGCTGTTTTCCCTTAGGGTTATAAGAGGGAGCCTCACATCCTCACAGGACCAAATCTAGAAGATGTGTGAAAGCTTGTCTCTTCCAAAAGCTGCTTATCTGATTGGCTCTAATTAAGTTACATGTTTATCCCCGAGCTGATCTGTGTGGACACGTGGATGGTACAGGCTAATTAATTAAAGCCAATCAGAGTCTACCTCTGTGCTGGGAAAGAGGTTGGTTCCATCAAATCCCATAGCTTAGAATGAGAGAGAACAGTGTTTTCCGAAAGGGAATTCAAATGCCTGTTACCAAGAAGAAGGGAATTGGATGCTGAGTGGCAAATGAAGTTGTCCACTACACCTTACATCTGTGTTTTACAAGTAGCATGAACTCGAATGAGAAATTTGCTCCAGTATCTTAGTGTGAAGTACTACAGTACTCTGAAAGAAGCATACCCAAACAGGTTGGTATTGCAGATAGACCTGTCGAAGAAATTGATTTTCTTTATTCGGGAAAGCTTAGTGCATTGAACATGATGAAACATAAATCAGAGATTCTTTTTTGAGTGTTCGTGAGGAGCCTTATTGTTTAGAAATTTGCTCATTCTGCAGGGAAAAAAACAGCAATACACAGAGAAAGTGTGGAAGAAGCATACACTCTCTCATGCATATAATTTACAACATGAAGAGAACAGCTTGATTTTTAGGGGATACCAAGACCACCAAAGTGCCCAAAATTATAAAACTCACTTCATTTTTTACCTGAGCTTCTAATCTACTTCATGGCCTAATTCACAATTTGGTAGATTAAAGGCCGTTTCTAGTTAAAAGAAATGTAGCAACTATACAATTCAAAACAGTTTAATTTTACTTATTTTCACAGGATTGTACAGGGTGATACAGGGTTCAAATGTA